CTTATTTGTATCCTGATTTTGGGCAAAAACTATATATAAAAAAAGACACTTTTGAGGCAGACAGAGAAAGGAAAAGCAGATTACTATTCAATAATATTAAAGAATAATCCTTACTTTGGTTTGGTTTGGTGTGTTTCAAAGGAGATCAATATTGAAGCAGTTATTGGTGAAACTATATATTGGCTAGAACTTGCCTTTAAATATTGAAGCCGCCAAACATGGAAAGAGATGGATAAAGCAAGAATGTTAGGATAGTGACTAAATGGTGAAATTCAGACAGAGGTGTGTGAGGTAATTTACTTCTTTCTCTAGTTTTGTGCCTGAAAATTTCTGATATAATGTTAAAACCCAACCGGGAGGTGTTACTGTGCCTCACAGGTTGGGGACAGGATTCCCTGGCGTGCCTGTGCTCTGGGGCAGGGAGCCTGACCAGAGCCAGTCCTTAAACTGCCAGCACACCCACCCAAGTAGCTCCCTCCAGCAGAGTCAGTCTGAGCTCTGTTCTTTTGTTCTCATACTTTCTCTTTTTTGGCTGTTTGTATGAGGCAAGGTCACCCGGGTCCCACTCCAGCCTGGGAAGTGTCATCAATCCCTTTTTTTGGCCTCAGTTCAAAATGCAACCTCGAGCAAAATTAGCCCAGATCTCTTTACTTTGGAAAATAAAATTGACCCTTTGAATTCAATTTAGCTCAGATCACGGTGATCAAGTTCAATCGGCAGAGCCCTGGAGGGCCGGCTGTCATCTGCACCTAACCCGCCACTGTGGGAAACAGGTCAGGTAACACCGTGACAGAAAAGCTGAATCGAGGGAAGGTTTTTTGAGGATAATGGGAAATTATGCATGCTCCCAAGCTAAGGTCAATGATCCAGGGTAATAAAAATGTTAAAAACTTGAGAAAGTGGGATTAAGCATTAAAGCCAGGTCCCAAAGAGGCCAAAATAAGGATCATAGATACAGCTGAAGAATTCATTTCAGAAAGAGAGGCGATTTATTTTTTCTGTACATTGGTGGGGAGAAAAAGAAACAGCAAAAGAAACTACAGTGACAAGGTAAGATGGACATGAAGGAGGCGGAGGTAGCATTTCTCTGGTGAGAGGGATTTTTGAAGTCAGAAGGAATAGAGGAGAGAAAGGAAAGGGCTGAGGCTCAGGGCTAGAATAACACCAGTGGTATAAAGGCTCATCGGGTGCTCTTTAGTGATGGCCCAGGAGTTGGACTGGGCATTAGAGAGAGGATGGGGGAAAGCCAGAGAGCTGCCCTGGTTCCTAGTGGACCTCTGAATGTGACTTTAGGCTGTAGAGTAAATGTGGATGGGCGAGTAGGGGTCCTCCAGTCAAATAGCTCATTTCTTGTGGAACAGAAAGACCAGGAGAGGACAGTTCAGAAGGTGGTGGTTAAAGGGCACCATCCTGCAGGGAAGTTCATGTTCAGAGCCATCAGCTGGCCTCTCCCACACCCCACTGCCTGCCTGGCCAAGGTCCCTGGTGAACAAGCTGGCTTAGATCTAAATCAGAGGCAACACCCTAAACAACCCTGGAGGGCATGGAGCATTCCTATGCTACCCTCTCCTCTGCTTAAGTCGTGTTTTACAGCCCATTCTACAACAGATGTGTAAGCTTATCTCTGTTCTCTCACCATGGAGAAAGTAAGTGTCATGTCAATGTGATAATGACAAGGCTGCATTTTCACACACACAGAAAATATGGGCAGCCTATATTTTAAAGTAAGTTTATTTATTTTTTTCTTTTATTAATTTTTAAAATTTATGTATGACAGCAGAATGCATTACAATTCTTATTACACATAGAGAGCACAATTTTTCATATCTCTGGTTGTATACAAAGTATATTCACACCAATTCATGTCTTTATACATGTACTTTGGATAATAATGTCCATCACATTCCACCATCATTTCGAACCCCATTCCCCCTCCCTTACCCTCCTACCCTTCTGCCCTATCTAGAGTTCCTCTCTTCCTCCCCTGATCCCCCTCCCTACCCCACTATGAGTCAGTCACCTTATATCAGAGAAAACATTTGGCATTTATTTTGGGGGGATTGGCTAACTTAGCATTATCTTCTCTAACTCCACCATTTACTTGCCAATGTCATGATTTTATTCTGTTTTATTGCTGAATAATATTCCATTATGTATAAATGCCACTTTTTAAAAAACCATTCATCTATTGAAGGGCATCTAGGTTGGTTCCACAGTTTAGCTATTGTGAATTGTGCTGCTAAACATTAATGTGGCTGTGTCCCTGTAGTATGCTGTTTTTAAGTCCTTTGGGTATAGACCAAAGAGAGGGATAGCTGGGTCAAATGGTGGTTCCATTCCCAGATTTCCAAGGAAACTCCATACTGCTTTCTACTGTTATTCTAACCCTGAGCCTAGATTGCACCAATTTGCAGTGCTACCAGCAGTGTATGAGTGTACCTTTTTCCCTACATTGTCACCAACACTTATTGTTGTTTGTCTTCATAATAGCTGCCATTCTGACTGGAGTGAGATGAAATTTTAGAGTAGTTTTGATTTTTCATTTATCTAATTGCTAGTGATGATGAATCATTTTTTCATATATTTGTTGATTGATTGTATATCATCTTTGATCAAGTGGGATTCATTCCAGGGATGCAAGTTGGTCCAACATACAGAAATCAATAAATGTAATTCATCACATCAATAGATTTAAAGAATCATATAGATACATAAAAAGCATTTGACAAAATATAGCACCCTTTCATGTTCAAACATTAGAAAAATTAGGAATCAAAGGAACATATATCAACATCATAAAGGCTATCTATGCTAAGCCCAGCCCAGCATCATTCTAAATGGAGAAAAATTGAAGTCATTCCCTCTAAAAACTGGAAAGAGACAGAGATGCCCTCTTTTACCACTTCTATTTAACATAGTTCTTGAAAAACTGGTCAGAGCAATTGGACAGGTGAAAGAAATTAAAGGGATACACATAGGAAAAGAAGAACTCAAATTGACACTATTTGCTGATAATATGATTCTGTACCCAGAAGACCCAAAAAGTTCCACCAGAAAACTTTTAAAACTAGTAAATGAATATAGCAATGTAGCAGTATATGAAATCAACACCCATAAATCAAATACATTTCTGTATATCAATGACAAATCCTCAGAAAGGGTAATTACCCCATTTACAATAGCCCCCCCCCCAAAAAAAAATACTTGGGAATCAACAAAAGAGGTGAAAGATCTATATAATAAAAATTACAGAACCCTAAAAGAAGAAATCAAAGAAGACCTTAGAAGACCTTGCTCTTGGATAGGCAGAATTAGTGTTATCAAAATGACCATACTACCAAATACAAATTTAATGTAATTAAATACAAATTTAATGTAATTCCAATCAAAATACCATTGATATTCCTCATAGAAATAGAAAAAGCAATCATGAAATTCATCTGGAAAAATAAGAGACCCAGAATAGCTAAAGTAATCCTTAGCAGGAGGAGTGAAGCAGGTGGATTCACTATACCAGACTTTAAACTATACTATAGAGCAATAGTAACAAAAACAGCATGATATTGGCACCTAAACAGACTGAAAGACCAATGGTACAGAATAGAGGACACAGAGACTAACCCACAAAACTACAATTATCTTATATTAGACAAAGGTGCCAAAAACATCCATTGGAGAAAAGATAGCCTCTTCAACAAACAGTGCTGGGAAAACAGGAAATCCATGTGCATCAAAATGAAATTAAAACCCTATCTCTCACCATGCAAAAAACTCAACTCAAAATGGATCATGGACCTAGGAATAAAACCAGAGATCCTGTGTCTAATAGAAGAAAAAGCATGCTCTAATCTCCATCATGTGGGATTAGGCTCCAACTTCCTTAATAAGACTTTTTTGGTGCAAGAATTAAAATCAAGAATCAATAAATGTGATGGATTCAAACCAAAAAGTTTCTTCTCAGCAAAAGAAACAATCTGTGAGGTGAACAGAGAGCCTACATTTTGGGAGCAAATCTTTACTCCTCACACATCAGATAGAGCTCTATCTCTAGAGTGTATAAAGAACTCAAAAAGCTAAGCACCAAAAAACCAAATAACCCAATTGATAAATGGGCCACGGACCTGAACAGACACTTCTCAGAAGATGATATACAATTAATTAAAGTAAGTTTATTAATTGTATCAACACATCTACTAGGGATTTAAATATTTACACCAGATATTTTCTCAAATATTTCCGCTTACTGATTATTGAGCACACACAGACACAATTCAAAGAATAAATTCAGCAGTTTCAATGATATATTTTGTTTATAGTCACAAAAGAACAAAATATTTAAAGATAATTAATATTTCCTGGAGTGTTTCCCCATAGAAATCAAAACATTATTAGGTTTGACTTAACACCCAATGCATGCATGCTGTTAGAAAGTGTGACCTCCTTCCCCAGGTTATATTGATAATTACAAATGCTTAGTTCAGTGAACAACTTTTAAGATGCTCTACAACAATAAAGATATAGCACCCTCCATATCTTGCAGGTACTGTTTGCATTGACATCTTGTATAATGAATCTTGTTGGCTTGCTTCAATTTATACAACTGACCAAACCCAGTGAACAGACCCCAGTTCAATGATCTCAAAGCAAAGTTTGAAGGACATGAAACTTGGAGCAAAGAGATTGTTTGTTTTGTTTTCCTAACTTGGCACTAATTTAAGATCCAGGAAACTCACATGAACTTCAGTTTCCACATATATCTAACAAGCTGATAGAGTGAGAGATTCCCTGAGATGCCCCTCAGTCCAGTCATCTATAATTCTGCTTGATTGTTTTACTGGTGAGCATACATCTCTTATTTCTACCTACAGGAAGATCCCAACAAGCAGATTGTAGAGAACTCTAGTGCCCAGCCCTTGACTTTAGCCATAATTACCTGAATACACAGTATCAGCTGGGAGTTCATTGAAGGGGATATTCTGGACTTCTCAGAAGTGTAAGTAAATTATCAATAGGATTTTATTTTTGGTTGAGTATCTGAAGTATCTCAAGGGTTATTTGAACAACTGACTTTCTTTGCTTGCTCAAGGTCCCCACTTTCTTTGCACCTCACTATTGAGCAGATGGCCTGCTGGAAGTTGTTGCTGACCACCACGTAGAGTAACAGGTTACCAAATGTGTTCAGAGCAGCCAAGGGTCTAGAAACAATGTAAGCTTCATGGATCTGATTCTCGATGGAGCAGCTGATGGAAAGCAGGCGAGATTCAATCCGAATGACCCTCAAGACATGGAATGGTAAAAAACATATATAAAATACGAGCAGGAGCAGTATGGTCAGCCTGCGAGCTTTCTGTTTGAGGCAGCTCTGAGTCTGAGGTCCGTGAGTTAGGGTGTTGATAATTGTCGTGTAGCAAAGTGTCACGATCACCAAGGGGAGGCAGAAGGTGGTGGCAGTCAAAATGAGATTGTACCATTTGATAGTGGTGAGGTCTTCTGAACTGGTGAGGTCAAGACAGGTGGATCGATTGGTCATGTTAGTTGATGTAATCAGGAAGGTCATGGGCATGACCGCCACCAGCGAAATGATCCACACCACCGCACAGGCTACCACCGTCCACCGAGTCTTGTGGATGGAAAAGCAGCTCATTGGGTGGATGATCACGATGTAGCGGAAGATGCTGAAACAGGTGAGCAAGAGGATGCTGCTGTACAGGTTGAAATGGAAGCCGAAGCGGATGAACTTGCACATGAACTCCCCAAAGATCCAGTTTTCCCCGCTGGCGTAGTAGTGGATGAGGAAAGGGAGGCTGGTTAGGTATAGCAGGTCGGTGCAGGCCAGGTTCAGCATGATGATGGTGCTGCTTCTCCAGGGCCGCATCTTGAAAATGTAAGTGGAGATGGCTACTGCGTTCCCCGGGAAGCCCACGAGAAAGATGATGCCATAGATAACAGGGAGGTAGTGCATCTTGAGGGAGATTTTTTCATCAGTGCAATTTCCAAAAGCAGCTGCATAATCGGGGAAATCAGAAGCGTTTGCTAAACCATCCAAACCATCCAGTGGCTCATTCATGGTTGTCTCCTTTCATCTTGCAAGGAAACAAGAGGGTTCACTTTAGCAACATGAATGAAGTAAGGAGTAACTGGCTGGGAAAGGAAAACAGAAACCATTAATGAGAAGGGAATGAAAACAATGATCGACTTTTAAATGAAAATTGCTCTTAACACCCTAAATTTGCCACTTTTTTTTTTCCTCTTTAATCTCAAAAGAGACCCTGTGGAGAAGAGATTGAATTTCTCAGAAACTGACTGTGAGGCAAGTTACTAAAGGCATCTAATAATAATATAAAAGTTAAATTGCCATGAGAATTAAAGTGAAGGATTGGGAAAGAAACTGCACGTGGCATGGCGGTGGAAAACAATTTGTCAAGGTGACTGTTTGGCAAGTCATCGCTATCATCATTGGAGACCCAGCAACAAGGCCTACCATGCATCAAACACATCTCTGACAAAATGCACAAAATGCACATCTCTGACATATTAAGTCTAAGTTCATGAAATGTTGCAAAATGTTTCTTATTTTCTTAAGTTCATGAAATGTTGCAAAATGTTTCTCTTTTACAGAAGACACTAAGACCAAAAGAGGTTTTGCAACCTGTCCCTGATAACACACTGGGTGGCTTAGCAAGGGATCCAGCCCCCTGTTCATCTGATTTCAAAGCTGTTCTCTAGCTTACCTCTCTGAACTCTCAATCTATATTTTATTGATTTTTCACCAGTGTTATGGTTGGATGTGAGGTGTTCCCCAAGAGCTTACATGTGAAACAATATAAAATGGTTTAAAGGAGAAATAATTGGTTTATGAGAGTCTTAATCCAATCAGTGAATTAATTCCCCTGATGGGATTAACTGGGTGGTGGCTGAAGGCAGGTAGGGTGTGGCTGCAGGAGGTGGGTCATTGGGAGCATGCCTTTGGGGTATATATTTTGTTCCTGGGGAGTGGAGTCTCTCTGTTTCCTGCTCATCACGTGAGCTGCTTCTCTCTGCCACACTCTTCTGCCATGGTGTTCTGCCCCACCTGGAGCCCCGAGGAATGAAGCCAGCCTTCTATGGACTGAGACTTCTGAACCATGAGCCCTCAAAACTTTTCCTCCTCTAAAATTGTTCTGGTCAGATCTTTTAGTCACAGGAGTGAAAAAGCTGACTAAGACACCCAGGATTATCCTCCATAACTGAGGGTACAGGAAGTGTGAAAACGTGAAAAGACTAAATACCGTGAGTTTCTTAAATCTGGATTTTTAATGCATTGCAACGTTGTGTGTGTGAAAGATTCAATTGCAAATTTCCGCTCTTCTAATCTGTTTTAACAGCAGCTCTAATCTATTGGTGTGTGTGTGTGTGTGTAGGGTGGGATCGGCTATGCAGTACAGCAGTTAGGAGCTTGGGCTGTGGGGGCAGGGGGAATGATCTTGATGCTGGTTTAGCCATTTAGTAGCTCTGTGTCCTTGAGCAGGTTGCTTACACTTTTTAGGGCTGGAGGAAGTGCAGTTTTAACTCCCTTCATCTGGATTCTCAGTTCCTTCTAACATTCTGACAGTGAGTTTTTGCAATGACTAAAGCACAAAGACTGTTTAAAAGAGTTACTTAATTATAATGGATTCAAATAGCTGTTGGTAAAATACATCCCCTTATACACTGGTGAGGCCCCCACTGTGTATTAATTAGGCACTCTGCCAGGTCCCAGAGATAATGAATGAATGAATAACCACAGAGATGTACTGGGGGAGATAGACACAGAAAATTATTTTAACAAAATATAACCTTATCTCATGGAGCTGTAAACATATTTTGTAAAATAGCAAGAAAAACACCTGGCACACTCCCAGGCACATAATAAGCTCAATAGAAGTTAGGTAGCTGTTAATCGTTAAGCCATTTGATAGAAAAATGACCTGAGGATACTGAGACCACACACACACACACACACACACACACACACACACACACAACAGTTACCTGGAGAACAGGAAAGAGCACTAAAGGAAAGTCACTGAGAGGGAACACTTAAGCTGAATTTAGCAAGAGGAAGGATTTTTTTGAATCAAGGATGGAAAGGTATTCTATGCAAAGGGGACAGCAGCTTGTGCAAAGGCACCAAGAGATGACAGGGACAGGGAGGTCAGGGACCTTACTAGCCAGCATGGCTGCTCTGTTAAGGGGCACTGGGAAATGAAGATGGAAAAGAAAAAAATAACTAATGAGAAAAATAATAGTGCCTCCTTTGCAGAAAGCACTCCTCTAATTTAAATTCATCTAATCCTCGCAACAGATGAGGTAGGACTGTGACTGTCCCCATCTTACAGAGGCGTGAAGAGGCAGTGTGCCCAGGGTCCCAGTGCTGGCTGTGGCTGAGCCATCTGCCTGCAGGACAGGCTGCCTCTCACAATGGGGAGGCAACAGTGCCCCACGGTAATGAAGATGAGTTGGACGTTGTCCCAGGAGAGCTCAATAAATCACACGCTGCAACTGTGACCCAGGGCTAAATGCCAATAATACCTACTTCTTTGGGTTGAGAGGAGATTAAATGATTTAAATAATTTAAACACAGAGTTGAGAAGGGTGCCTGGCTCCTGGCTTGTGCTCTCTCAGTATTTCCTGTTATTATTGCCATTATCTGATCTTAAATCTATACTATCAAGCATTTCCTCAGAGTAGTATTGAGACATAGTTCAGACTGGCCCAAACTAATGAATCTGAAATTGGTAGGCAAGAGGCAAGCTAATGGCTCTGAACATGAACTTCCCTGCAGGATGGTGCCTTTTAACCACCACCTTCTGAACTGTCCTCTCCTGGTCTTTCTGTACCACATGAAATGAGCTATTTGACTGGAGGACCCCTACTCGCCCATCCACATTTACTCTACAGCCTGAAGTCACATTCAGAGGTCCACTAGGAACCCGGGTAGCTCTCTGGCTTTCCCCTATCCTCTCTCTAGTGCCCAGTCCAACTCCTGGGCCATCACTGAAGAGCATCTGATGATGAAATGATGAAACCATTTCCTGTCCTGTTGACTGGCCTTCAGTAGACTCCTCCAGACCTCACGGAGGGTGCAGGATGGAAGGCATATCTGGTCATTACTCTTATTTTGTATGAACTGGGGAAAGAATAGGTCAGGGATATGGGGCTTGCCTCTGCCACTGTTAGGATGCTCAGGGGAGAGGATCTCTAGGACCATGCAGTGCTGAATGGGTGGGCTTCTTGTTGAGTTAACTTACTCTAATTGGAAACACTATGCACAGAACTAGCACCTTCACAGCCCTGGAGGTGACATCAGAACCCCCACCCCAACCCCCCGACCCTGCGCAGCAAGGTGCTCTGAGGCCAGGAACCCACATGGGCAGCCTCTCCCTTGGCCAAATCCCTTACATGGGATCCTGCACCGAGCACAGGCAGTAACCTAACCCTGAAAGGAAAGGGTCACAGTCAGGAATCCCTGGAGCCCCCACCTCACAAAGTCAGTTCTGAGGATGTCCAGAGGCCACTCACTCACTTGTGTTTCTGAAGCAAAGATGTAAAGATTGTTTTGGTAACAACCAAAGGAGTCTTCCAGAATATCTCATTCTAATTGGAACTTGGCTTAAAGAGACGTGAGAGGGAGAGAAGCGGCGAGAACTCCAGTCCAAGCTGCTGTTAGCTCCATGAAAGCAGAAACACAAGACACCCCATACTACCCAGGGGACGATACTCAGAAGGGGCCCAATAAATATTACTGAATGCATTAAAGAACAATCGGCAGCATCAGCAAATGGTATTCTGTGCTGAAGGGCCAAGGAAGCCGTACCGATAATTCAATAACAAAACGAAAACCAGAGCTTGTTTCCGTAATGTCTTAGAGTAAGGATCAAAATTACTACTCGTGTCATTGCCAAATAAAACCCTGGCCTTGATCTGAGGACATTTTTAACAATAATCACATCAGGCAAAGGCAGGTTGTAGGTAGAAACAACCACCTTATTGTTTTAAAAAGCAACAGTTCCACTTGGAATTTAATGGAGACCGACTAACCAATTGGAAGGCAAAAGGGATTGACTGAGAAACTTAAGCTGCATAACCTCACCAAAGGTGTGGTCTGAGTTTACAAACTATGTGTGATGTCAAGAACAAAACATAAAACCCAGCCTGTGCAGTGGGAAGGTAGGGTGAAGCAGTTTCTCTTCTCCCTCATTCCAGGGTCCCATCACGCAGTGCCCAGAATGCCCAATCCACAAACAAAACAGTTAAACTTTGAGGACATTAAATAATAACGTGCCACAGCCCCAGGGGAATTCCCTGTCTTTTGCCACCATAGAGGTTCTGGGACTTTAGGAGACTACAGACCACCCCGGACTAATGGGCTCTTTATATACTGAAAATATGGGTGTCCCATATGTGAGTGTTAACCAAACTATACGCCGTGTGAATAAAAGCAAGCACCAAAGGTTTGGGACTTTTTGAAGAAAAATATGTAATTTAAATCTCGTGTCTTCCATTGAAGTTGAGGAGCGGTTATGATCCTTTGAAGCTAGCTATAGACTGTCAGTGTTTGGGACCCCTGTCTTAATGCCCGCTCACCCCTGAACGTCACAGATTGAGGATCCCAGGTGCTGGGTAAAGAAGGCAGAATCAGAAGCGGTATCTACCTGGGGATCGGCCTGTACCCCTCCACCTCCACAGGGTCCGCGTGTCCATTCAGTGGAGTTACTGACAGGAGATGGTGCTAGGGTGTCTGTCAGCTTTGCAGCAAACTATGATCCAACCTCCACCCCCTCGGCGAGCTCCGCCTCCCTCTCCCCTCTCACCCTGGGCAGTTCCCATGCTGCTGGCCCTTCACAGCGGCTCTCCCCTTATCCCAAGCTGCCAATGGACCAGGAGGAACACACTGAGTGCACAGCCTTCACTTCTCCAGTCAGAGACTTTCATTCATGTAGAAGACTCATCTGGTCTCCAGTCTAGATATTTGCATACTAAGTTGATTCCACACAGGTGGAAACAGCGATTCTTAACCTAGAAAATCTGTGAGTGGGTGAATGATTCCCCCTCTCCTCG